GGCACGTTAAGCCGTTGGTCCCGGCTGCATCTGCAGTCGTTAGCACCCACCAATCCGCACTGGGCCCGCGTGGTGGGTCATGGCCCAATCTCCCTAATCCATCCATAGGGAAGGCCTGTGCCCCAGCAGTGGAGACATTAATAGGCTGATGATGATGATGATGAAGGTATACCTATAATTGTCGCATTCTTTGTTTATATTTCAAGTGAGTGGAAGGTATTATATACCTAGTTGCATAAAAAAATAAATAGATTTTTCTTTTTTTCAAATGATTTTTATCCTTCCCTCTTTACTAACAAAAGAATAGGTCAAGTATGTAAAGAAATATTCGAAAAAGGAAAACACTACAATACCTTAAATTGCTGAGTAAACGTACTTACTCGCGCCAGAGCCTCCAAACCGGTAAACATTGTTTAAGTTTTTCCTCCAAACCGGCAAACTTGGAGTTCGGTAAAAACAATGCTTAATGCCTTATTAGGTGAGACGGCTCGGCCGCCCGCTTTTTACTGCCTTCATCACAACGAGCCCTGCAGCCCGAGAAAAAGATGCTGCATATTTCAATTTGTCCTTTAAAGGACAGCAATAGAAAACCTGTTTAAAACATTAGAACCGTGAAAAAATACAGGGGAAAGAATCCGAATTCAGAACCAAAGAATGAAACCTTGAAAATAAAATAAAAAATGAATATTAAAAAAAAACTTGCAAGCTTTCGGGTTGTGTTCGATATTCAAAATTGACAGATTTTCGTGTTCATCTATTTCTGGCCAGTTGTAAATTCAAATGAGAGCTCTATAAATATGCATTTGTTATTGTAAAGAGGCGAGAAAATGTAAAAATGTCGCGACCGTTATCACAAATGTTTACGTTAGTCGAAAATTCTGTTCCCACGCGTACGCTATGTCAAATGTAGCAAGCAATGTTTGTATTGGTAAGATAGCTTATCACTTATTCCTGTGAGTCAACGGTTTCTTCTGATTATTTTCTTAAAAGATGTGATGACCAAAAGTGCTATCTCTTTACTAAATGATGTCTTAAGAAATGTTAATTTTCCTCAAACATCATTACACCTACAGCTACATATTATGCTTGCTTGCTTAAAATTTATTTATTTGTTCCATTATTCCGAGTGTATTCTCATAGAAAAACTAATTCTATTCAAGGCTTTAAGCTTTGAAGTTTAGTAAATATTTTATTTAAAATTGATTAGTGTTGAAATCCATTTTAGTAAAGACGTTAAAACGGCTTTTGTGGTTTTCGACCATGTATTTGTTTATTACCAATCTATCATTCTGTGTTGACAAACTTTCGAAACTGTTTACTTTGGCACTATCAAATATATCGCAATGTGTGAAAAGTGTCTTTTTAATTTCCCACAAATATTTAATACCTAAGTGAATTTAGCGCGGTATTTACGTGCTTTTTTATCGAAAAAGATTTATATTGGTTAGTTCTCTTTTCAAATACTGAACTATAAAAAAATAAATTACGAACTTGAATGTTTCCGTCCACGAATTGGGTGGTCCAATTTTGATGTCCTGATGGATGCATAAAGATGATATCGATTGATCTCCCATCGGAGATAGCATAAATACGTTTTGTAAATGAATGCATTAGGTTGGCAACAAATCAGTATTATTTCTGGCCTACAATTTAGACCCTATTTAATGTGGCAAGATAGAGATTTAGCATTGAAATTATATTTTATTGATGAGATATTTAGTTGCTAAAAGATATGCGCATATCTTTTAGCAACTAAATATCTCATCAATAAAATATAATTTCAATGCTAAATCTCTATCTTGCCACATTAAATAGGGGCTTTGCACAGTATATCTAAAGTTAAAAAGTCCTTTAAATCTAAAGAAAATACAACTAGAAAAAATTCCACGCGGACCAGGCAGCAGACGGGACTCGAACCCGCACCCTTCGCTATCCGGGCGAATGCACTGACCAATTATGCTACCGCATCCCTGATGGCCGCGTAGATTTTTAGATTTAAATCATAGATTTAGATTTTAGATTTAAAAAATATCAAGCAGTTAATTGCTTAAATATATATATATATATAATTAAAAGTCCATGTTTTTTAGTTTGATCAGAAGGGATAGGTAAGTGAGGCACCTTTAAATTGTTTCATCAATTTCGCATCTCGTCGTATACTTATTAATGTGTGTAATTTTAATGGACGTAACTGCAAATAATCTCTCTTTACATCTATGTTGGATTAAACTGTATTATTATTTTACTGGTATTACATATCGTAACTTAACAATAATATAATTAACAAATACACTATTATTCAATAATAGCTTAAAAAAAAAAACAAAAAATATAATATATCGATGAACCTAAAACTAAAAACTAAATTAAAAGGAGTCCCTTTAGGCAAGGTTCCGAAGATACTGGCAGCGTTCCCCCTTTGGATAGCTAGACTAATTCATTGTCCAAGGTAGCTGCCAGCTCTTCGGTCTCCTGTGATATCGACTAATCTTTTTGCTATTTCTTTAAAAAGCCTTATAGCGCTAGGACCTCACGGATCTCTCTTTTATATTATTACAAACTTCACAACAAAATATGACCCCAGAAAGGCGCCAAAGATTTTACTTAATTACCGACTCTTTAAAGTCCCTTTGTCGATGTTGAAACGTTAAATAGTGATTTATGTTTCCCTTCGTAATTCAATGTTTGTGTTTAAATATGTCGCCAATAAAGTGTCTCATTGTTTTTTTTAGTATCGTAATGCAAGATCCGTATCTTTGCTCGTACCCGTGAAATGCAGCTGTTGCCTTTAGGGTTGACGATTACTTAAAGGCGTTGTATCTTTTTAATATGAACTGAGGGCCAAGCACGAATTTCGACAGCTCCGTAAAAGTATCGTCATCATCAAATTTTGTATGGAAGTAGTCAGTTTGTGCTTACGTCCAGTGCTGCAGCTTAGTTTTATAGACACTTTGACGATACGATGCAAATACGGACGGACGAAATTTTGACAGCAAAATCTGTTATGGTCAGTACTCACATACGGTATGTATTACTCGATATTTTTACTCTAAAGCGAGTTAAAATCAACGTGGCTCATCCTACGAACGAAAGTAAATACTTCCAACACTCACACCAATTAGTCTAGCCCCAAAGTAAGCACTGTAAGGCGTGTGTAATGGGATGCTAGAGTAACGGATGGAATATATGTATTCCGTCCGTTTCGTATGTATAGTATATGTACTATACATACGAAACGGACGGACGAAATTTTGACAGCAAAATTCGGGCTTGGACATCTGCTATTACGATTTGTTTATACTAAAGTTACCTTTGGAAATAAGAAGAACAATTATTTATTTTTCACAAAGCTACTTTCTTAAAATAAAATGTCTTTTCCATATCTATAGGTGATATATTTATTTGACGACTCTGTTGACTTGACGTTGTTTTTTGACGACTTGCTGAGTTTCTTGCCCGTTCTTCTCAGTTCAAGGTCTCCTATCAGTCAAAGTAGCCATTAATAATTGTCATTTGTATAGCTCTTATCTTCAGTAGTGATCATGCCAGGGCACTGATTTTTTAAAAAGGAATGCCAATTTAAAGCAATTTTTTGCAAATAGAAATAAACTGTAACCAGTTACAGCTTTTTTTCCTTAATAATAAAATATTTTAGAAAAGTATTCATTATAATCGACAGCCCTGCATCATTTATTATTTACTGTATCGCGCTTGATTCATTATGCGTATTATAAATCTCGTCAGTTGAGATAATTGAATTGAATTGAATATGTATAAGTATGAGTTTTTTTTATTATTTACAAAATATTTGCAAAATTCTAAACTTTTCATATATTTGTTTTAAGATACCTATTTGTTTTGTTTTTTCCATGTGATGTTAGCTTTTTTATGGTCATTTATTTTTGCTTTTTAAAATATGGACCTACTTACTTTTTTGGAAGTTTATTTCTTTCTTAACAAAACTATAGAAATATTTGTCATCATTATTCAGACGATGCATCCTGTAAAGGATGCAAAACGTCAATAAATAAATAAATCAGTGCATCTATACCGTTGAAACTTGTTTTATTTAAAACTATAGATTTTATGCACAATATAGGGATGACGACTGGGTAAAATAAACGAAAATCTATTTGGTCCGTAAGTTAGTTTATCAATAACTTAAAAACTCTTTTTTTTTCTTTGTCAATCAACCAAGAAAATACACAGACAGAGCTCGTCAAGGTTTTGAAATGGGGGCTCGTGACGTCACTTCTTAGTAAAAAATGTACTGAGACGTGACGTCATGCGCTATTTCAAATCAATTTAATAACCTTTGTAATATTTGTTTCTTAGGTTTTCACGCACACCACTCTTTAAATAAAACAAGTTTCAACGGTATAAATAAACAGAAACGTCAATAAGTAAATAAATCAGTGCATCTATACCGTTGAAACTTGTTTTATTCAACCTTTGTACTGTTTTGATAATGTCGATAAAGAAAAAAAAACAGAAATGTGTGCTGGGACACATAGTAGAAGTGAAACTTCAACGGATATATTGTGTACCCCTTCCACGCATCCTTAACGCTTTTTCGTGACAGCAAAATCTGTCTATATAGAAGTTTTACTTCAAAAATACGTGTCCAAATTGTTAAATTTTTGATAATCTACCTGATAAAGCATAATGTTAGTCATCACACTAATATTATAAAGGCGAAAGTTAGTGAGTGTGTATGTTTGTTACTTCTTCACGTCTAAACGGCAGGAGCGATTTTAATAAAATTTGGTATGGAGTTAGCTGACACCCTGGATTAGGCTACATTTTACTGCGGGAAAATATCCCTAATTAACCGTGGGTAACACCGCGGGGCACAGCTAGTCATTTATATTTATCGATACTGTATGAGCACATAACCAATATCTGGAGCGTTAGAGCCACTTCTGTTTATTGATATTTTGTCTGCGCCCTCTCGTGTTTTAAATTTTTCTCTGAACCTTTGTTTGTTTGTTTTTTTGCAGGTTTCGTGTCCTGTTCGCCGTCTCCGTGCAAGAACGGTGGCACATGTCTGTCCACACCCCGAGGAGAATATTTCTGCAAGTAAGTCGCACCGCATGTAGCAGGAGCAGGGGGCCGATCGCGCTAAATGTCAAAAGACTGAAACGCATTGAACCGTAAGCGAACCGCAACTTTTTATGACATTTCGTATCGCGCTAAAGTTTTGACAGCTAGTTGAGATCGTATCACGATTGGACCGTACTCCAGTGAACTTCAGTCAAAAACATAATGTACATTTCAGTTGACAGGTGAAAATTAGCGCAATATCGATTTCGTACAAAGTTGAGTTGCAATTAGATTTGGACTAGATTGAACCATAATTGAACTTTGGCGAATCGTTAATAATAATAAATAGTGCGATTGGCCTGCTGGGTTCCCTTACCTTTGAAGTTAGCGGCTGTTAGCACTTCTAAGAGGGCCATATACGTTACAACGGTCGCACGGACTTCGGTCGTATGCGACAAGTTTGATCGTGAATGGATTGGTCGTACAGCGGACTGAAAGACCGAGGTCATGTCGCCAGTCCGCTGCAATACTTAGGCACTTTGCAGACGACGGGGCGGGGCGGGCTGGTCAATTGCGCCGCGAATAATAGCACAAAGTGAATCCTATACTTCAAACGCACACAGAGGGCAAAAAGACCGCGCCGCAGGTGTCCGGCGGGCAGTGGCGGCGCGGCATGTCCGCGGCTGCCCGCCGTGGATCATACAAACCAGTTTATATGCAGGAACGCAGACGGCGGCGCGGGGCGGTCAGCTCAGTCCGCGCCATGTGCTTATTAGTGATGGACTATTCACTAGAACGAACGTCCTAAACTGACCGCCTCTGCCCGTCGTGTGCTTTGTGTACGCGGCGCGGGCAGCCGCAGACATCGACGGGCAGACGCGGTCTTTATTGCTTCGCGGACAAAATGCCCGCACCGCCCCGTCGTCTGCTCAACGCCTTATCGAACCGTGGTTCGATCGACGGTCTGTGTTTCAACGAGAATGGGCCCTTTGATGGTTTGTACTCACATACGGTATTACTTTGGTAGTTTTACTCTAAACAGAGTAAAAATTAACGTGTGGAATGCAACACTCACAACTCCAAGGCTTGCTCTGACGATCTCCGTGGTCGAGTGGTTTGTACGCCGGGTTTCATGGTGTCGCTGTCTCGAGAGGTCCCGGATTCGAATCCCGGTGGCGGCAGATGTTTGTGTGATGAATACGAGCATTTGTACTTGAGTCATGGATGTTTAATATGTATTTCTAAATAAGTATACTTATATATGTATAGTATATGTATTCTGTCCGTTACCCTAGTATTCCATAACACAAGCCTTACAGTGCCTACTTTGGCGCTAGACGAAATTGGTGTGAGTGTTGGAAATATTTATTATTTATTATAGTTCGTAGGATAAGCCGCGTTGATTTTACTCGGTTTAGAGTAAAAATATCGAGTAATAAATACCGTATGTGAGTACTGACCATAACAGATTTTTAGCTAGTTTCAATAATCAATCGTGAAATTTCCAGTAATTAGTTCAAAATAACAACTATTATCATTGTTATTTTACCCTAATTAACAAAACTATCTAGGCAACTCTTTCGTTTCTGTATGTTTTAAATGTGATAAACAGTCGCTATCGAAATACTGTTGCATAAGTTTTGTTTATTTTTTTCTGTTTAATCAGAAATATGCATTTTAAAAATAGTACCTAATCATTAAATACTTTTTCTGCAAGTACTTATAGGTCCAATTTTATTTTATTCTTGAATTAGTAGGCAACAATTTTACAACGGTCTTTAAACGAATGCATGATGGCGATTGAGTGACTTTTATGTACTCGTTCATCGTGTTTTAATAAAATTATTGTTCTATTTACCACAAATTGGGCCCGGTTACTATAAATTATGAAGTGGTCAACACTACACAACTGAATAATGAAACTTTTCTTTGGATTTAAACATCTAGCAGTTAAATGCTTAAAAAAAACGTAACATAACAATTATTGCTATTTCTTCTTTCAAATGTGTAATACTTGAAAAAGTATTCATTTGACATTGTGGGTTACCTACAATACGAAGAGATGGCGCTGCCTTGCAGCTTAAGGCTAGGAAAATTTCGACGCGGCCATCAGGGCCGTGGTAGCATAATTGGTCAGTGCATTCGCCCGGATTGCGAAGGGTGCGGGTTCGAGTCCCGTCCGCTGCCTGGTTCGCGTGGATTTTTTTCTAGCAAAACTTTTCTTTAGATATAAACGTCTAGCAGTTAATTGCTTAAAAAATAAATAAAAACATAAATAATTTAACTTTATTATTTATTCAAGTTTCTCATTCTATCTCACTTTATTGATGTGAATTAAGTCGCGTCATCAAGAGTTTATAGTACGCCCCCTGAGCTATCAATTTCCATACATCGAGTAACTTAAGTGTAACATATGCAAGAAAACCGTTACGTAATTGAAACGACCCTTGGCTACCCTTATGATTACTAGTGATGGCGGCTGTCGAGTGACGCTGTATAATCCTAATTATAATGTCGATAAATAAGTCTATAAAGCGATCAGGACATTTAACTTTTCATGCAGATTAATAATAGCAGAAAAAAGTTTTAATTAGGTAAACATTTTAAGTAAAAACGAAGGCACATTTTTTATAATGGTCTGCTTGATGGTAAGCTGCCATTATAGCCTGTAGACGACTATAATACTTACGCTGTCCTTACCCTACTCTATTCCCTACCTCGTGGAGTCCTAGAAAAATATAATTTAACCTTTTTAATGACCAATCATAATTGATTTAGAAAAAAGTATTAATTCGAACATCGATCTCCTATTCTTGATTCATACTAAACATATAGTGTTTTTTATGATACCTGCTGAAATATGTAATTAAAACATCGTATTCTAAATATTAGGCGTATCTCATACACGTCACATCACTATTGAAAGTGCATAGATCTCCCTAAGTTGCTATATTGTGAGCGCAAGCGCACGCCCGCAGGGGCATAACGTATCCCACACGACAGATGCGCGGGACCCTATCGTAGCCGAGGCCCCTAAAATGTATGATGCTTAAAAAATCGCGCATTGCGATCGCCGATCGATAATGTTCTAATAAAACTAGTAAATATGGCAACGTGGAGAGTTTTTATACTGACATAAAAGCTCCCATCTGATTGAATGAATGTATTTTTTGACGTAACTTTGACGAAGGCGATACGACTCGGAACTAGATGCTAGCATCAGGACACAACCATGAATTTTGGTGCTTGGGTCCTGAGGCAAGGCGATTACGTTACGATTCCGATGAATATGAGTTGCAGTATGGAGTTTTATATAAAGAATACTGAACTAAAACTAATCAAGTTGATACGGGCACAATGCTTTTTCAAGTTGATATACCTATGTAATACGACCTTACAGAGTAATCCAGATTTCGGAAGAAGGAAGGTTTTAGGCGCCGTTGCATTTTTATTGTTCGTATGCCTTATTGTTATCGATCTATAACCGTTGTATCGACACACTTACATATCGACGAGCCCCGACACTGACTCCGAAGTGTAGCGAAGTGACAGGCGAACACTTGGGTAGCGTTAGTTGCAGATTTTGTTAAGTGTGCGGTTTCTCAGTCATGTTCCCATTTTGATCTGACGCTTTTGAATTTGTAATAAGGATAATCAGTTTGAAGTGCTCGGTTGGCAGATTTTACTTTATGAAATGAATAGGGAATGAAATAAGATGTTTGTTGGGGTGGAATGGTTATTATTGAAGATCTGAGAGAGTAACACAAATGCTGCATCATTATGAATGTAATAGGGCAAACTGGTTATGCATGACATGAGTGTAGTGCGTATTGGTGGTGCTAATGACCATAGATATAGCCGGGATAGCGTAGCCACTTAACGTTTATTTCAAACACAGCACAAGGAAAGTTAAGATAATATATGGCCACTAATCCGATGACCTGCCCTGCTAAAGTTGCTAAACTACAACGATCGCAGACTGAACGCGTAGACCACAGTGTCATCATTGACCTTCTTAACAGATAGATGCACATGGAAATTGTATAGCAACAAGTATTAATTTGGCACCCTATATTTTTTTTAGTTTCCGAAATAAATTAATTCTTAAACTTTATAAATTAAATATTGATAATTTTGAAATAATAATACATAATTATTTAGAAGTTCCATTCTAAATAAAACAATACGAGAAATCAATTTCATGAAAATTCAAGCTAACAGGAAATTATGTGTAATAAGAACCAAACAAAGCAATAGTTATGTTTGTTCTGTATACAAACTAGACCTTCCACCTAGTTTCTCTAACAATGTGGCACTGAAGTCATCCAGAAATTGTGTAGCGGCTCCTTTGTTCCCTCATTGGCGGAGCTCATTAAAATCGTTAGCCGTTTATGGTCGAACAGAGGCGTGAACTGTGTTGTGCCACGCGGAAAAGCTTAGTTGCATAACCTGCTCGCGAGGATGCCTTTATGTGCAAACTCTGTTTATGGAATTTAGAACTGGTATATGACAGCCAATGGACATAAATTGATTCTTAAACAGACGGCATTAAAGCTGCGATTGTAAATTTTGGTATTCCTAAGGGAACAATTCTTGGTCCATAACTATATACTGGGACATTTTATATTAAGATGGCCATTTGCATAATCATTAATGTGATTAAGTTATACGTAATAAACAAATAGTACGATTAATTTTATGCAATCATACATTCTCTTTACATACTTGTTGGACTGCTAAAACGTGAATGGAATAAGTCCACATGGTGACACAATCGGACATGCACAAAGCTGATTTGTTATTAAAATTACTATTGCATTACACTTATATGGCGAATTGAAGGCTTCCAACAATATATTGCAGTTTCAAATGACCGAAGCGAACGTGATGGCTTCCCAGAAACTCAGACAAGTATGCTTTCACAGTCTTGTATTCAGCTTATTCTTTAAAATGTAAGATTAAATTCTAATTAGTATTATTTGTAAACATTAGTTAACGTTTTTTTATTATTTGAAAAGCTATTTGAATTCTAATTA